TGCTGGCATTCGGAATGGGAGATCTTGTAACTTGTCTAACTAAGCATCCATGCTGATTTTACATTTTTTGAATTTTAAATATACGAAGGCTTTGACTGATATATAAAATTTTGTTAAAAGAAGCTAGCCCATAAGCCCACGAACGTGAGAGAGCCACATGTTCGATGTCTGAAATTGAGACTTCGGCCGTTGTGAATGACAAATGTTCAATCTTGGAAGGATCGCCGTGCTGCGAGTGGCGTAAGAAATAAATTTCGCGACCATTTCGAAGTTTTCGAAGCAAACGAGGAATGGCGGTCGTCTACTTCGCCTCCTTTCTCTCTCCTCCTTCTGCCTCCTCTTGCTGTTCTCATTCTCCTGTACTTCATCGTGCGGCCTCGTCCGGTGAAGATCCCCATCAAGAATCGCCACGTTTTCATCACCGGCGGATCGAGTGGGATCGGTCTCGCCCTGGCTCGTCAGGCTGCGGCTGAGGGTGCTCGCGTCTCGATCCTTGCTCGCTCTGTGGATAAGCTTGAGGAGGCCAGGAATTCGATTCGCCTCTCCACCGGCATCGATGTGGCTGTCTACTCCGCCGATGTGCGCGACTACGACGCCTTGAAGCGGGCCGTGGATGAAGCGGGGCCTATTGATGTGTTGATTGTGAATCACGGGTGTTTTGGGCCACGGAGATCGAGAAGCAGGAATTGTTTGGGGTGAAGTTCATTATGGACGTGAATTTAATGGGGAGTTTCAATTTGATCAAGGCTGCGTTGCCGGCAATGAAGAACAGGATGGACAGGGGACCTGCTTCAATTGCTATTATGTCGTCACAGGCTGGTCAGGTATTTGTCCAATACTTCGAAAGGATTATGCACCTTCATTATCAGTATTATTTATGGTCTTAAAGTGATCTGTGTGTGTGAGAAATGGGATTTGAATATGTTTCCTTGATAAAACTGCGTTGGCAAACATCTACAAATGGTTATAATTTTGGCTCTCTATATAAAGGGGATTTTTTAAAATTAAACTATCCAAAGGGGAAGTCTTTCGTTTTTAACGTTGGGACATCAATTCAAGGCTTTTCCATGTAAACATTAGCATAAGAGGAAGACTATCACTCTCTTCTTCGGTAGAAGTTGCTTCAAATGTTGTCTGACATATCATGCCAATGCCGGACCAGTGTATCTAATGTTCATTTGAAAAACTTATTATTTACTGGTTATTAGACAAACTCGTGAAATAGAATTTGTACATCAACTGTGTTGAGTGTTGCTACTATGTTTAAAATCATTCTAGGCGGTTTTGGATATCCTGTAAGCAATTACTAGAATGTGCCCTCTGAGAAATGTTACTGGCATGGAATACGTGGCAGAACTCAAAATTGTAAGCCTGCAAACTTAAACCATGCATCTACATGTAGATGGATTATCAAGAATGCTTGAAGTTTTCATTCAAATAATCATTGTAGGATCATGTATGCTAATTATCTCTTTCCTCAGATTCTAAAACTGTTAATAAAAATTTACAAGTTAGTATTGTGAAGCTATATATCTGTTGACGTGAATTTATGTTTATCTGTAGGTGGGTATTTATGGTTATACAGCTTATGCTGCCAGTAAATTTGGGCTTCGTGGACTAGCAGAGGCATTGCAGCAGGAGGTTATAGCGGATAACATTCGTGTTTCTCTTATATTCCCTCCAGACACGGACACTCCTGGTCTATCGGAAGGTATTGAATAGTTTTTGAGCTCATTTATTCAATCACAAATCAGTGCTCATTTTGTACTGGTAATGAGTTGAGTAGCCTCTTGGATATCATCTGTTATCAATTTGATCTTGTTTGTTCAACCCGATCATGGATGTCAGAAGCCATAATCTACAGATCAGAATAGTTGAATCCATATTTCAAGCTGATTGTCATACTTGGCTAAATATTTCCTTTTGGTGGGCCTTGATAGTACATAAAATTTTGTTCCTAATTTGCATTATATATAAGCGAGTTGTAAAATCAGTCCTAAGGGAATGGTATATATATTAAGGGAATGCTCGTAACTCACGGTACAATTATTGCCCACAGGGTTATGGCGTCATGGAATTAGAATGTCAAAATCTGTTCCTTTTGTATGTGATGTGCACCAAATATCTGATTATTTGATCCCTTGTCAGGTTTTTTCCCTTCTTTTTTCTGTAGTCAAGGGAGTTGATAAACTGAAACATGCTTTTTACAGAAAACAAGAAAAAACCACAGATAACCAGTTTAATTGTGTCCTCTGGCGGTTTAATGAAAGCTGATGAAGTTGCTCAGAGAGCTTTAAATGGCATCAAATCTGGCAGCTTTTTCATCCCCTGCAACCTTGAGGGATACTTGCTGGCCCTAGCAACTTCTGGGTTTTCCCCACAAAGCTCATTCTTGATGGCCTTTGTTGAGGTTTTTGCCGCTGGAATATTACGCATTGCTGTGCTATTTTTCCAGTGGACCTGGTACAGAAGTATAGAGAAATTCCATGCCCAAAGACGTGGTAAGTGTTGAGCAAACTAATTTCTATGAAGGGATGGAGGAAACATCCCGCCCTTATATTCTAATTTATTCTAGGCAAGGTATCTATCTCAAATATGCTAAACTCATTTGGTTAAGATTAAAGAACTTTAAATTTGGTTGCTTGCTTGTGTAATTATGTTAACACGATTGTCATGCTGTTAACCTTTTTACTTGGGTATAAAGTCTTAAAAAAAAAAAAACGGAGAGAGAATCAATTTTCTTGCTTTGATTTTTATTTTCCAGACGTTGCAAAATTCTAATTCCTGAAAGATTGTTTAATGGAATTAACCTTGTGCTCTGCTCTCAGTCTTCGTGCACTTGGTAAGGTTCACAATCTTATTTTTATTTGTGCTAAAAAGACTAAACACCCCAAAAAAAAAAAATTCTCTCTCTTTCCTGGGAGGGGTTAGATATGAACTATTTTTCATAATCTTAACTTCGCAATATCACTTTCATATGATTTGTTCTAAAATGGTTGATGTTTCTTGGTGAGATCATTTGCATACAGCAATGCTGATCCTGTAACACTATACCCTTTTTTTTGTAGGCAAGTAGATATTGTTAGATGGATTTTTTTCACCTGAGTTTCTACTATCATAGCTGTCCTCTTCAACTTTATGATGGTCTGTGGTCTCCTGAAGCTGCTAAAAGGTTATTCAAATCACAGTCCTGCTATACTTGTGGTATTGTTGAACTGTTCTTCTATCGGTTCCAGACAATCCCCCAATGAGCTGATGCTCGTCCATATGGCGTGTTTTCAGATATATGATAGCAGATAACAGGATATGGTTTTGTTCCGGTCTTTTCAATGTTGAGACTATGATTTATGATAAACGAGAACTCATTAATTTTGTAATCGGAATCAAGGTCAAGTTCAGGTTTGTGGTTTCTTTACTTCATCCATGAGAATAGCTCATTGTTAAGTATGCTTGGTGGAGGGTAGAAAGAAAGTGGAGGGGAAAGGGAAGGAAATGATGTGATTTTCAGTCCATGTAGTTGGAAGTTAGTCGCATACAATAGTCTTTCAATGAATTCTGATATACCAGACTATTGTAAAATAATTTAAAAATAGGGTTAATATTATTTTGTCTCTTGACCTCCTTTTAGCTATCATTTCAGAAATTTGAAATCAGTGGTTTTGCTTCCTAAAACTTGATTTTATTTTGGTTTGCCTAAAGACTCCTAGGGATCAAAACCAAATACAGAGGGCATTAACCCTTAAAAATATGAATGAGAATTGTATGATGCACAAAGTGGGTGACAATAATTTGAAAGGAGAAAGATAATTTTCCTGGAAGGGAAACAAAATAGAGAAGCATTAAAAAAACCAGTAACATGCTAGGCAGTGCATTAATTCGTAACGTCAATTTTTCCAGGATGGATGGTTGGATGGATGTTATTTCAAAAACTTGTTTTCTTAGGCTAAATTTTTGTACTGTAGGTTTATTTTTTAATTGTACTGTGTAAACTTTCTTTTTAATTAATGATCTTTTTTTTTAAAAAAAAGCAAACTAGAGGAACGAAATACTATTTGATTGTTTCATATGAATCTTATTTTGGCCTCCCAATCTTTCCTGTCTCTATTTTTGGTGAGTATTGTCTTCAAAAAAACTTAACGCATCTAAAGGGGTGTTTGACAATATTAAAAAGTGCTTCTCAAAAGTACTTTTCCGTAAAACAAGATAAATTCCTCCACATATTTACTTCGTAAACCGTAAAAGTACTTTAAAAACCATAGTTTGGTTTCCATTCAAATACTCCCTAAAACAATGATAATTGATGAAGATTATGGGAAACAGTTGATAAAAATGAGAAAATAAAAAGACAAAAATATTGATGTGCTACAGAAAAAGAGAGTTGATGTGAGAAAGATACAATTGTATTAAGAATCTACAGCGGTGCTTGTTTGCATCCGTTCAGAATAATGTTTTTGCGCTTTACAGAAAAACCACTGCCACGTATTTATCTCATATAATAATACGGAATTACCTTTTCACAATTAATCCAGACAAGCACCCAATCGCGTGAAAAAATAAATAAATTTTTATATGCATTTCACTTTGGTGCCCTATTTCCTCTGAACATATGAATATATAATTTACATTCAAAATTTAGTTGAATGGTGGTTTTTTTTTTGTCCTAAATATAAGAGCTAGAAGTTTTAATTCACTTTGTTTCTTAAATTTTACAGTATTTTTTCTCAAACTATCCCAATTGTTTGCTCATATTAAAAGAAGTTTCCATGAATAGGGTAATTTTCAATACAAATAACTTAAGTGGATATTTTCAAAAAATCAACAAATTAAGGGGTTTGCTGAATAAGGCTTTTGACTGGACATCTATAGGCTGAGTGTTAGGACGCAGGCCCAAGCTTTATGAGCTCTGGACTAATGGCTGGAGCATTGTGGGCCCATTGAAGACGAAGATGAAGAAAAGGCTGAACGGGCCGTTAGGGGCAAAGCAATCTTGTATTCTTGTTCTTTGTTGCCAATTTGCCAGCATCGACGCCCAAGCAAGCAACCGCCTTTGGCCACACCTCTCTTTTCTACAGATTCTGGTGACCAGTGAGAAGGAGCAATCTTGAATCCACAAGACATGGCATCCTCCGTTGTGAAGCGAGCTACATGTTCCGCTGTGGCTGTTCTTCGATCCGGAGCGTCACTGAGGTCTTACGCTAGAGTTGCATCTGGCACTGACATAATCGCTGCCGCACCTAATGTTTCTCTCCAGAAAGCTCGCTCCTGGGATGATGGAGTCTCATCCAAGTTCTCCACCACTCCTCTCAAAGATATCTTCAAGGTCCCGCAGCCAAACCCTCCTCAGGAACATTTTTTTTTTTTGAATTGCTTGTTTAATGTTTTGTTTTTTTTTTCAAAGGTGAATTTTCAATTCGGTCCATTCATTACTTGCAATATTGTCAACTAGAAATAGGCGGATTTTGGATTAAATAAATGGAATGGAAATGTTGCAACTTGCTAGCGTCTTTACTCTTCGCCAAATTTGGAGACATTATGAATTATGAATGAAATTAAAACTTAAGCCTATCTTTCGATTTTTTTTTTATCCCTTTCTTTTTCTTTGTTTTTTTCATCATATTTGGTCTCGCTTTCTAATAACTTTCATATTCATGATGTTTCAGGACAAGAAAGTCGTCATCTTCGGCCTTCCTGTAAGTTGCCATGACAGTATGCTGTAAATAATGTATAACATGTTATGCATTTTGTGGTCTTCGTATTACAGTTAGCATACACTCCCTTAATTTGACGTATGGTTGTGAATGTATTCTGTTTATTTTTTACTTTCTGTGGTATTTGTCGTCCTCCTTTCAAAGGACAAAAAAGTTATGTTAATATGAGGGAATGGATGCTTTCTATTATATATATGGAGCTTTTTGAAAGAAACTGTAACATTGTTATTTGTATTCATCTAAAGCAATCTGCTTATCATGATGATTTGGAATGTCTCAGGGTGCATACACAGGAGTTTGCTCAAACAAACATGTTCCTGCTTACAAAGACAATATTGAAAAGTTTAAGGCTAAAGGCATTGATTCTGTTGTTTGTGTGTCTATCAATGATCCGTATGTTATGAATGCGTGGGCGGAGAAACTTCAAGCCCAAGATGCTGTAAGTTAGCCTGCTCTTTTCCTTGACTATCACGAGTACACCATGCACTTTGTGTTTTCAATTTCCCTCCTTGACAATTATTGTATTGGCCATTAGTTTTTAGCCTTAAAAATTAGTTATTCTCTATTTCCACTTCAATCTTTGCTGTCTTTTTGTTACCCATTTCTTGTTTGGCAACTCGCAACGCCAGATCATTCGTTTTCAATTTGAAACCTTGTGCGTGTCCATCATAATTTTTAGTGTTAGCCGGTTCGGTATTTAGTTCACCAGTTATCGCAACACATTTGGAGTCTGCCTCTTATAGGATTGGATTTTTGGATAATGAGAAGGATTAGAGACTTTTGGTTGTTGTTTGATTTGACCAGAGATTTTGTTTTGGCAAAGGTACTGAGGGTTTTTTTTTTTTTAATAATAAATTTTTATAGTGATTGGGTGACTAGAATACCTACAGTTGCAATAATTGTTGAATTGCAAGAAGAATAAGGTGATTTTTTATGAACTTTGTCCTCCCAGAAGTCCAAAAATGTATTTAATCTATACGGAGATTGTGTCCTTCACAACACCTAATATGGCCACAGTTGTATTAGTATTAATGTTTGTGTCGGATTATCATGCTTCAATAACTGAGTTTTGGGGTGTAAAACATTTCTTTGCAGATTGAATTTTATGGGGACTTTGATGGGAGCTTCCACAAAAGCTTGGATTTAGTAACAGATCTCTCGGGTGCTCTGCTCGGAACTCGATCTCAAAGGCATGCTGCTCATCCTGAAAATCTGTCGTGCACATGACTATTATGTGGTCTTGAACATGTTTTACGGAATTTGCTTTCTACATGATGATATGAATCTTCTCTACCTTCCACTATTATTTTTGTTTCTCTCTAAAGAATAGCTTGCGTTGTTTTGGTGTAGATGGTCAGCTTATGTGGTAAATGGGAAAGTTAAGGCTCTTAACGTTGAAGAAGCTCCATCTGATGTCAAGGTTTCTGGTGCGGATACCATTCTGGAACAGATTTGAAGTTTCTATGCTTTGTATGCATATAAGATTGTAATAATATGTTCTTTTGTTTTTACCCCCATCCACATAAGATGTAACCCCGGCAGAGAGGCAATGCTGTGAGTTGAGTCTCTGATGCTTCCTTTGTTTATCTGTAACAAAAGCGGCTAATGGCAAATAAGTTTCTTGCATGAATCATGTCTGTTTGACGTGTAATGATCTCTCTTATCCGTTTCTTGAGGGGTCATTTACGAGCTCTAATCTATTATCAGACTCTTCTTTTAGCTTTCACTCTGCATCTTTTTACCATACATATCCCATGGTCACTTCGGGTGTGGTTCCAGAGTTATATATTGTATCTACGGCATTTCCCCTTTGAAAAGTTACATGTTCCGGAGCTTGACAAATCAAAAACATAAATCTGTTAGGGTGCCAATTATTGTCCAAACCTGCTCTGCCAAGCTTGAAGCTTTTAGCAATAATGCTAGTAGATGTTTATTATTATTATTTTTTAAAAAGTAAGCAATGTGAAAGCATATAAATATATGTATGATATTACTTCTTTTTTAATTTAATCTGTTTTTAAATTTTTAATTTATGTGTGTGTGTCAGTGTGTCTGTGTGTCTGTGTGCACACTCGCTAAATACAAAAGATCAGTTAGATTGTTTCAGTATCGCACTCTCGCCCTTGAGATCTAGTAGAAACTATTCAATCTTTTCCACAGTAATGCTCAACTTCAAACTTTGAAGACAGAATTCACAAAGTTTAAATTACAGCTTATTGTTAGTGTATGACGTACAGTAATCTTTGAAGTTCCAAACAATGTGAGGTTCTCTCTTCATATGATTCATTTTCAGCTTTGTGTAATTAGACAAAGTAAACTTGAAATCATTGTTCAACATGCGATAACTTGTAGAAGTAGCCCCAAGGGAGATGGTACAGATGCAGCTGGACTCCACCGCTCTGCCAACACAGCCTTGAGCTTATCCCCAGTCCTACACATGACCAGAAGCCTCCACATATGAAAGCTCCTATGACACGTTGGCATTATAAATTACACGTGGCACCCATATCCCCTCATACCTGTCGATCATTCCCCATTCGAGGGGCCATTACTCATGCCTCCAACAGCATCATCTGCTCATTATCACAACACGTAGTTCTAACTTGTAAACTCACCTCCTACTTATATTATTATACTCTCTGCAATTGATCTTCATGCAGCAAAAAGGGTTCTTCGCCATCACGATCACAAACTGTTTCTGATTCTGCAGAAATGGCCAGCAATGAGCAGAAGTTCCCTCCCCAGAGCCAACAAACCCACCCCGGCAAACAACATGTCATGGATCCCACCCCACAATCCACCATTCCTCACTACAAGCCTTCTAATAAACTCCAGGTACACAATACTCACCTCCTTTTACTTGGATAACTAATCTGAAAATACTAAAAAAATTAGTTAAATTAGTTACTTGGATAACTACCGAGAATCTCTTTAGCATACACGATCAATAAAGATAATTGGGAGAAAAATTATAAATTTGGGATATAGGGAAAGGTGGCGTTGGTGACAGGAGGAGACTCGGGAATAGGAAGAGCGGTGTGCATAAGTTTTGCAAAGGAAGGTGCAACGGTGGCCTTCACTTACGTGAAGGGACAAGAAGACAAGGACAAGGACGACACTCTTCAGATGCTGCTTCAGTCGCAGACGGGGGATGCCAAAGACCCCATGGCCATAGCTTCCGATATAGGATACGACGAGAATTGCAAGCAAGTGATTGATATCGTCGTCAAAGAGTACGGTCGCATTGATATTCTGGTTAACAACGCAGCAGAACAACACATGACAAAGTCTCTGGACGATATCACTGAAGATCGCCTTGAAAGGGTTTTCAGAACCAACATTTTCTCACAGTTCTTCTTGGTGAGGCATGCAGTGAAGCACATGAAAGAAGGAAGTTCGATAATCAACTCGACGTCGGTGAATGCGTACGGCGGGAATCCGATGACGTTGGACTACACGGCAACGAAAGGAGCCATTGTGGCGTTTACGAGAGGTTTGGCACTGCATCTGGTGAGCAAGGGGATTCGGGTCAATGCGGTGGCGCCGGGGCCGGTGTGGACGCCGTTACAGCCGGCGTCGATGCCTCCTGAAATGATCCAGAAACTGGGGTCGGATGTTCCAATGAATCGAGCAGCTCAACCTGCTGAGATTGCACCCTGTTACGTTTTCCTGGCTTCTCTTCAAGATTCTTCCTACTTCACCGGTCAAGTCCTCCATCCAAATGGTATGTTGCTCTATAATGCCTCATATACTATTTGGGATACAGTGAACAACACAGTAAAGTCTTTTCTCTTTTTTTTTTTTTTATTAAACTTTATTAAGTTTTCTTTTTTTCTTTTTTGGTCTGCCAAAGACCGTGTAACCTGGTGGCATTAATGATAGGAGTATCATTTTCTATTAAATGGATGCCATTGTAACTCTGTTGATTACGAAGCTTGTATTTTCTTATATTATCTATTCCAATATCCTCATCTCAATTTTTTTCATGTCCCAAACTCGGGTAAAGATAAAGAAGAGTTGAATTAAACTATTCAAAATAAAACTTTGGTTAAATCTCTTTGTGGACATTTTGTATCCAATAAATCAAATACAAATTTGTTTTATTCTTGAGCTTTTTATTTTGTTTTGCAGGCGGCATGATCGTCAACGCTTGAAGTTCCTTAATGCTCAACTGTTGATACGACAGAAATGGTCTCTTGAATGGAACTTGTTTGTGTGTGTGTGTGAAGATATATAATATAAAATAAGCCATGGTACGTGCCTATGTGGAGTTTATAAGTGTGTGAATTTTAATATGCAATAAGTGAGTTGAATTTTTAATAAGTTGCTCTCAGAACTGCTTTCACGTTTTAACATTCTCAAATCTTGTGCATTAGCTTTGTAAGTAAATTTTGATTTGGAGTTTTTTCTTACACTATATATTGATATGGTGGCCCCATGTTTTTGTATTTAATTTGTCAATGATGGCAAAAGGGTCTTTTTCTTTTTCTTTTGCCAACAAAAAGGTTATTCTTGTTTAAGATATATGCCTGCAAGTAATCCGAATAAAGGGCATATGTATACAAACACACACACGCACGTATGCACACACCATGCATGGTTATATTCCTTCATTCCCATCATAATTCATGGGAAAATTGTTTTTAAATGACAAAGCCATCTCCAACTACAGAGTTCTTCAATATAATGGTAACACCAGACCTGATGTAAAACCCTTCAGAAGATCTATCAGCCTCTTGTATGCCCTGCAGTTCATCCAACATCACAAATTCAGTGCTATTTCTTGATTTAAACCATTGCCTCACCTTAATCCACGCTTTTTAACTGATACAAACTAAACTGTTAATTACATATAAGACTATGAAAACATGAGCGTGGAAAGATGAACTTCATCTGCTTAAAATTTTTTCAATACCATATATAAGCTGTGAAAAGGAAACTAGATGTCAGATGGAAAGTGTATGGCATTTTGAAGAATCATACCTCTGAGTTTGCTATTACAACGTTCCTTCCAATTCTGGCATTTTTGTCAATAATGCAGTCTCTGCAGATTAGTAAGACAAAGTGAGAAACTTGAGCAATTGAAACTTATGCTGACCATTCTGGGTCACCAGTTTTTGGCTCGGTTATGTAAGCATTCAGACTGGACTAGGATCCGGTTTCTGGTTGAACCAGATGAACAGGTTTTCATGACATTGATTGAAACTAAACGGTTAGTAATGAAGAATTTGAGTCGCAGCTCCTACTTGATTTTGGTATTTTCTCCTATCCCAATTGGAACTCTTCCCTCAGCTAATAGTGCTGCTATTTCAGCATCAGTTTCATAGAAATCGGCTCCAAGCATCACGGTATCCTGCATAGAAGTGCAACATTTTACAGTTAAATAACTATGTTTTGAAATTTTACAGAACAATACTACTAGTAGTATTTTGGGATGCTTAATTACTGAAACTGAGAAATTCTATGCAAATGAGGAATCAGGTATCTGTGTTTTGCTAAGACCAGACCTTCAAGTGAACGTTTGAATTTATTCTGGATCGGATTCCAACCACACTGTGCTCTATGAAGGAATCCGTCAAGAAGCTTCCATGTGATATGATCGAATCAACAATCTGCACCCACAAGAACAAAAACTCGTATTTAAAATCAATATCAACATTAAATATAAAATTCATAGCAAATTGTATTCACAAATCATTAATAATATGGTTCATTCCTTAAACTTTATGAGGTAAAGAAGAGGTGGAGATTAAATGAAGATAAGTGTTATAGAGTAACTTATGAAGGCAAAGACACTAACCTTACATTTTTCAATCTTTGTTGGAGGCAAGTTTCTTCTTGATGTATACGTTGGTTTTGCTGCGTCATAGAAACTAAAGCGTGGTGGCTGCAAATCACAAAATTTCGAGTTTTAAGGTGACGGACTATAGATCTCAGACATGGAATGATGAACAAACCAGCCAAAACGAAGATTGACTTGAAAATTTTTTTTTTTTGATACAATACTTGAAAATATTTACTGCTTGGAATTTTACAAGTTTAATTGACTCCAAAGCTTCACCTGGACAAAAGATAAGTCAAACACTAACATGCTCGGTTAGGGCCAGATTTGCCTGAAAGAAGGATCTGATGGTTCCTATGTCCTCCCAGTAGTCATTGAAAAGATAAGCCTACAGGAAAATGTTCACTTCAAATAGAATTTTATAGATCATAATCTGTTAAAATGAACTTTCTGACATACAATAATTACATGAACATGACAATCTGATGGGTGCTTAAGTAGGATGGATAATCCTACCCAAAAGCTAAATGTTAAAATGGGAGCTCAGTGTCGGACTTAGTATCTCATACTATTAGGTCCCTATCACAATCCTATGTCTTACCATAAGTGAAATAACAATAAACTACCATAGAGAACTGTATTTAAAGGCTTTGAGACATATGCTGAGTCAGACCTTCATGTAGAATTCTCCAGCAGAGGCAGGAATGACCTCGGATCCAAAGTCATTTGCAGTTGGAAAACGCCATCTGAATGATAGACATTACAGAACTTAGCAATAGATGAAACGGAATAGACAGAAATGCCTTACGTTAAGCTAAGTAATTTGCTGTACCTTAATAGGTTTAGAAGTATCTCCTTCTTGAAGACATACACTCCCATGGAAGCAATGTATGGCTTCTCACGAGCCTCATCTGGTGATAGGCCCAGCACTGTTGTATCTACTTGCTAAAAATATGAAGCACCATTTCTAAAATACTAACTCTGATTTCTGAACTCACTCCTGGTACGCTAGCAGTATGATAAACATGAGTATTATTACCATTGCTTTCAGGTCTTGCCCTTTTGGCTTTTCACTGAATGAAAGTATCCTTCCATTGTTGTCTATCCTCATCAGACCAAAATCTGAGGCACGGCTATCATGAATCCACGGTAGAATTTTAAAATGACAACAATTATGGAACTTAGGATAAAACATCATAGTATGAAATGACAGATCTAATCTACTTGAAGATCTTTTCACTATATTTGCAAACACAGACCTCTGAGCAGCCCTAACTATAGTCTTATATATGCTAGTCTTAAGTATGAGAAAAGAGAGAGGAAATCAACCATGTTAACCCCAAAGATACAAATGTAAGTGATGGATAATGAAAAGACAGATTGTTACCATACCATTTAATAGGAGATAGATAGGTTAAGTCAATCATAGAGACATTTACATGCCTATCCATGATTGACTTATCAATCTCTCTCTCTCTCTCTCTATACAGTTACCAGTGGGCCCCATTAGGGACACTTCTCCTTCTATTTATAAGATAAGAACCTTCAACCTTGTTTTATGAAAATCGAGTCCCTTTAAAAATCTCTATAATTGAGAAAGCTAATATGTGAAGCAAGCAATCTACCTGTCATCCATTGGAAGACAAGAAAGAGTGATGTCTGCACCGCTCAGTCGATGACTCTGCAAATCACAAAGTCATTACTTATAAGAGTCAATATTTTGACGAGAGATACAGAAAGCACTCTCTTAAAGTGGCTTGAATATGGACTTACTTTAACAAAGTCCATATAGTCCATCCTGTACAGGTGATCCCCAGAAAGAATCACTACATCTTCAATAATCTTACTTCGTGGATCCTAGAACAATCAAAAGCACACTCTAAATCATCAAGCTAAACCATCCAAACAGCATTTAGATTCTGTCTTGCCTTTGTAGTGAATCTTAAGAAAAGGAAAAACAATCAGGGGAAAAATGACATTTAGATGGGCAGTTCTTATGAAACACCTCAAAGAGCCAATGGAACTGACGCACAGCATCTGCAGTACCTTGAAACCAATTCTTGCCTTCTACACCTGGAGTTTGAGTAGCAGCAAGAACCTAAAAACAGAACAAGCATCCTTAGAAGCCTAACATCATATAAAAATGAATGTCTCCTAAACAACAAAAATACATCCCAAAGGATGATATATACCTCGACAAAGCCATCTCCAAAGGTGACTCCATTGCCAGAGCTGTAAGCACGGGCAATGTGCCTGTTCAGTTCAATGATTGTGAATTGAACTGAGTCAGAATGTACACTTTGTTGATCCCACTATTAATACAATTGCTCATTGGTACATCAATCAGCCTGTATGAACCTCCAATAGGAACCTATCACGGCGCCACAAACACATAATGACTATTCATAATCTAATGGATATGCCAATGCACTCATGATGCTATGGGATCAATCAAAATACCCCCTACGTCCTAAATATAGGAGCTAATTAGGAGATCTACTTTGATCGTAAATATAAAAGCTCAGTCCATTTTGTCTCCAAAATATATAACTTTTTCTTCAAACCATTCGTATTGAATGCACATATTAAGCAATTTCCATCAATACATACGATAGCTAAAGAGAGTATTTCAAAAAAATAAACACACATTTCTTTTAACAAATAACCAACTCAACAAATTTTCTTGATATCCGCAAATTAGTTATTTAGGTCAACCAGAGGAAGTAAAAGAGAAGAATATAACATACAGACTTACGGCAGGTTTGGCACGGCGCTTAGTGAGAGGAAAGAGACGAGTGCCAGCTCCTCCACCAAGTATGACTGCCACAACCGTTCTTGAGTCCTTCATTTCCGTTCCCAAGTCCCTCAACTACATCACTCCATTTGCCAATTCATCAAAACCCAATACTTTTTGAAACGTGTTTAGAGTTTTTGGGCTCAACTTAACCACACCATTCATTATCTCTATCCACAGATTCAAATCAGCATCAACAATACAAGTTTTAACGTCAATGCAGACATAAAACGTAAGATTGTAATGAGGTAAGACCCATTTATCAAAGTTGCTATCTTGTCACATAAAAATCCAGACTTTGTCCACATAACATACTTGTCAAGTTTGATTTACGTTCTTGAACAAATTTAGTGAGGTAGCTAACCTTGGATTCGGTGGTCACATCAGCAGTTAGCGACAAGCTGATGTGTGTCCTCCTATTTGAGCACCCATCTCCTTTTTGCTGTGCTTGGGCTGGCTTCAGCTTCATTTTCAGTTTCCGACCCATGAAGTCCCCATTAGTAAACTTAAGAAGTCCCCAATTCCCATCAACCAATCCTGTTGCTCCACGTAATTGGGCGGGACATGAGAGAGATAACCGGCCGTCCGCCGAGACAACCATATTTTTCGGTGAATCTGCGCGAGTAACTGTTCTGCCTGACGTGAAGCGGAGAGGAATGATCTGTGCTTACATGGACGGCAGGTTATTGGAGGATTGTGCCACGTTATCCATATCGAATAGTGTCCACCAATTAGATGGGCGATTTGAGGAAGGAAAACGACAAGTTACTCCCGGTGTGCACTCGCTTGATATTGCGTGGAGCCATTTTGGCATCTTTGGACTAGAATGAGAATATACTGAATATTACGGAATATCAGGCGGAAAATATAGATACACACAGACGATAAAAGAAAAATACGGCGTTTGAAAGCTGAAAAGCATGTAGAACTTGCGTTTTTAAACAGGAAAAATTACACATAGGTCCCACAAGACAATTAATTCATAAAAAATCTCTAAAAATTCCAAAATAATTCATAAATCCCAGGGATCTGTTTGTAATAAATTGAAATTATGGAATTACTTATTTACTCCCATTAATTTTATTGCAATAATTTATTTACAACCTCAACAGTGACTGTTGACAACCCGAAGAGAAGTGATTAACGACCTCGACAGTGCCCTTGACAACTCACTCTGTGGGATATCAGGGGCACTGTCGAGGTTGTTAACCACTTCTCCTCATGTTGTCAACAGCTACTGTTGAGGTTGTAAATAAATGGGGTAAATAGGTAATTTCACAATTATAATTTATTACACACAGGTCCCTGGAAACTTGGGAGTTATTTTGAGATTTTAAGGGACTTTTTGTGAATTAATTGTCTTGTATGGGATCTGAGTGTAATTTTTCCTTTTAAACATGGCTTAGGGGGATATTGGGAAGAGTGACTTTAAAAAAGTTGGTTTCATATAAGTAATAATTTCTCCCACGTACTTATCTCAATCTGCATAAAATCACCTCTAAAAAGTTAATCAAAACCTCTCTTGATTGATCAATATTGTTCCCATCACCCTGAGTCCCCTTTTACCTTTCCGTTGCATGTCATTCAAAACCTAACGGCGGCGGCGAATCACAGGGGACCATAATGATGGAGTTATGACGACGGAAAATGATGGCGAAGGAGCTTACATTGTCTTGAAGCTGACATGTTATGCCTCTTTAATTCCACCATTTTTTAATGGCGGGGTAGGAGGTGATTCATAAAAGTTGTCTTCTTGGGGTCATGGTTCAATGACACAAGTCCATAGATCAAGTTCATGTGATTGATTTGGTGGATCAATGGATCGTGAGATCCATTAATACGTTATTTTATAGTCAAGTCTACTGATCCAGTACTGGAATTCTTTTTTTTTTTTTTTTGATGCGCTAATAACTTAACATTCTAAATTTTTCCGTCATGTATATTTTTTCCATGGCTCCCTCCATCACCCAAAAGTATAGTAAAAAATAATCCCTCCGGTTTAAAATATAAGTTAAATTTTATTTATTACGTTTATCAAAAAACTAATTAAAATCAATTTAAAACAATAAATGTGTAAGGCATATATTTGTTTTTCTAAATATATCCTTATTAATGAAGAGAATAAGTAAAAGATGTAATAAATAAATTAAAAAAGAAAAAGAATATATGAGGGTAAAATTAGAAAAAACTCATTAAATGCTTGGACAAAAGTGAATATTATCTTATAAAAAAAACCAACCTCTTTAAAAAGGTTTAGCTTATATTTTAAAGTGGAGGGAATAGCTTAATGGACATATTTTGATAAGTTAGTGATGAAGTCAAAATTACTCCTAAAAATTATTTTAAGGATAAAATTTCTTGTGAAAAATTGAGCACTTTAAGAATAAAATTGCATCATAGAATATTTTAAGATTTTGAATACGCTTAAAAATATATTTCACACTGATCCTTTATTTTATAATCAAAATGTCTTCTTATCTATCACTTTGGAAAACAAAACTTTTTTTTTTGACTCACTTTGGAAAGCAAAACTTAAGACAAATGTTATCCAAACAATTAAGGGCTTGTTTGGATCACCGTTGCCAATGATAAAAGTACACGGGAAAGCGTGAAACTGAGGTTTGTGGCTTATTGTAGCTCAGAAGATTGTTTGGGCGGGGTTTCTTTTCTAACTGACTTATAGAAAAAAGTAACTTTTCTAACTGACTTATCCAACTCAATCTGGATCAACTTTTCTAACTGACTTATAGGAAAATCATGCAAAGCTTACAATCTAATTAGTTATGTGATCCCATTTACTTTAATTAGAGACTAAATAAATTTTAATTTATATTCATGTTTGTCCATTATGTATATTTAATTAATTATCTACAATGTATTTTCAAATTTTTCTTCGTAACAAATATTTTTATTCTATAATTTCACAAATAAATTATTTATATTTTATCATAATAATTTTATGTGTTTTTTAAACTATTATCACATTAAAAATATAAAATTTCAAAAACTACTCCATGCCATTTTCAGTCATTTTATAACTAAACTAACTTTTCTATTAATCATCCAAACAACTTTTAACTTTTTCAACTGACTTTTTAAAAGCACCTATCCAAATATAAATTGCATTGCACTAACTGATTTTTACTCTAACTTCAGTTACAAAAGTCAGTTGGATTAGAAGTCAGTTTTACCCAACGCCAATCCAAACATATCCTAACACTTCAGGATTCACGTACACCTTTTTTATGTGAGATTTGGAGGTTCAAAAGAAAAATTAAATTTGAATCTGAACAACCATGGTGAATTGGTGATCACGTATTCACGTTAGTAGTTTACTTTCATTTTTTTTTTATTAAACTGCTAGCTTCTGTCTTTAATGTGAGATTTTGTTTGATTTTGATTTTAGTTTTAAATATAAGACTTCAATTCACTTTATCTCTCATATTTATTTATTTATTTCCAATATAATTCTTCTAACAATGGTAGTTCTAACCAATATATTTGATTAACAAGGATATTTTAAAAAAGATAATACCTATTTATTACAAATAACTAATTTAATTTTTTTTAATCTTTTTAAATTAGTTAACTAGCTTTTATAATTAGGATTGAAAGTAGTATTTTTTTAGCCACCGACAGGCATGGATTCGTAATCATGAAAAGAACGGCCGTTTTCTGGGAGAAAACATGGAGACAATAATAGGCATGTGAAAGAAGGAAGTGGAAACACGGGCGAAACGCTGTCGTCTGACTGTTGGGACGTCGTCGTCGACTCGGTACCAGCCAGCCTTGCTTCAGTTTAAAGAAACAGAACGACCGCCAACCCATTAGTACTCGCCGACGCCTTTACTCAAAGCCCGAGTCAGTCTTTTGTCTGCCATTAACATTTCTACTTCTCATGGCTTTCTCCAAGTTTTCTCTGTTTCTCTCGCTTCTTCTTTCTTCCATTCTCTTCCTCGGTCATCCTGTTCTGAGCGACGATGGTGAGTTTCCACTCTCTTAATTTCGTTTTTATGTCTAGTCATCTGAACAGTGACACTCATTTGAGCATTAAAGTTTTCGACTTGCTGCTGCTACGTCATTCATTTTATATGTTTTATTTAGTTCAACTTTAGTCTTTGCGAACTGGATCTGAAGTCACTGATCTAGGATTGCTGAGTTAGCGGGGGTAAGATACAAAATCAGAGAAGAGAATTAATATGAACGAGTTCAAGCCTCGATTCATTAGGCTGGCCCCTGTATGCTGTGTTTACAATGAGATATGGGTACACAATCTAAAATCTATCTGTATAAAATTATTTCCTAACAGCGTATAGTTTTGATTTTTTTTTTTTTTAAGGGGTTGCTGATCTGGTAGACTTGTTCATTGATTTGATGCTGCTTTTTTCTGGCACTTGGAAAATGTGCTTGATTTTAGCATATACAGCATCGGGTTATAGAGAGAACTAAGGTTGAGTTTTGGATGAATGATAATTATCCATTGATGATTGAACGCATTTTTTCTGTTTTCAATGTATTTGCATCTTTGTCCAAAATTTCAAGAAACGATTTTTAAATGGTGATGAGATTAGGCCTCAGGGGATCTGTAAAATGGAAACAGAACTCTTGCAGACTGGAATTTTTTTCTAAGTAATGCTGATTTCTTGATGTAATTTAGCCAAGCTTATCAGCTACTTGAAACTTTGGTTTAGATTGTTGTAACACTTTCTTATCCAATAACCTACCAGACACACGTAGAGAGAATCTAATAATTTAAGCAATGGATTGACAAAAAGAAAGTGATTCAACTTACGGAGACTATTAGAGCTTCCAAGTCTCTCCAGTTTAGTGGTTCGTCGTCATTGTGTCTTCACTTTCAGTGGTCTTATGTTGTAAGCATGTAATACCAATCTTTGGATTCTTGGGATGCATCACTTGGGGAATAAGTTTTTACGTAAGAGAAGCAATTAAAACAGATATAACCAGCTGATTTTTCTCAAACCAAACATAATAGTCAGGATTAGGTAAACCAGTGGGTAACATGGGAGAAGGTGCGGCAATTGTGCCATCTATGTGGCCGAACAGATGCTGACCATAGAGATAGGGTAGCGTCTGAGCATGCCAGATTAAGTAGTTGTCATTAGTGAGTTTTACTGTAATGAAATGGGGAATGTTGGAAGGGGTATAGGAAGACAAACTTGTGTATGATGATGAAGGTGCAAGAACACCAACATCTGTGGAAGATTGTTCTGCCATCCTGACACTATACAATCAGCGGCTGCTCTGATACCATAGTGAATCATATGCAGAATATAAAAATGCATAAAGCAAAAGGTAATCTGTTATTACATTTCATTGAATCAATTTAATAATTGTTGGGTATTTATGGGACACCTCGGAGTTCAATAGCAGGACACGTACACTAACAACCAAATATTCTTGAGCATAAATTAGCGATTTGTCCCGTGTGATTTTTCAAGCTGTTCTTTTGCTGACGTGTTGGGGGAAGAGGGAATTGTATTCTGGTTAATAGTTTGGCTCTAGTTTAGCAAGTGCTTTGCTGAGTAAACTTTGGAAACTTTAAAAGTGTAGTTGCTTGTCTCAGTCTTATTCGTTCTTCCTCATTTTAATCACCTTATTTTTAGGATTCCCTTCAACCTGTTGAAAGATAAAATCCTTGTCTTCTTCTGTAGATGAGAATTTTACAAGCACCTTGGAACTGAATCTTCATTCCAATACCTAGAGTCACTTGTACTTGCTCAAACTAAAACGTTTACTATCCTTTCCTGGTAGGTGGACAAGATATATGTCACCAGGCTTCCCAACCCTGTTAGAAATTGATGTAACTTATCTGACATAAACATACTGCCCGGAATATATTGATCCTCTGCTCAGCCTGGCATGTTTCTTCTTTCAATACTTGTCTGCATATATAGCAATAGCACCATCACCATATAGCGAAAAATAGAAATATATAACAATAGCACCATGTACCTTGAAAATCATTATTTCACAGTCATCCATACTCAATAAAGTTGGTATCATGGGACTGAACGAACTTAATTTTTGCCGGCAGAAGAAGACAAGCTTTATCAGGGAATCAACGAGTATCGGAAGACCCTAAAGTTGACAACACTAACCAAAAATGACAATGCTGAGTGCCTTGCTGATGAACTAGCTGACCAGTTTAAGAATCAGCCCTGTACGAACGCCACAGGTGCCAACACAGTACCAGGAACTGAGCCCCAGTTTCCCAATTATCCAAACCTTTTGGCTAAATGTCACTTGAATGTTTCCGACACAAGGGATGGAGCTGTGATGCCTGCCTGCGTTCCTGGCCTGGATCCGAGCCTTGTCCTCACAAATTTCACAAAGTCGCTCTACTCCCAAAATCTCAATGACACAAAGTATACCGGAATTGGTATTGGCTCTGATAATGACTGGATTGTTGTTGTGCTGACCACTAGCACTGCAGAGGGAAGCTATGCGCGGGCTACTTCTAATGGTGCTGATATGATTTCCAAGACCGGTTTAATGTACTGTTCAATGCTTTTGCTGGCACTTGGCAACATTTTCATGCTGTGAATGTAGAAGATTACTACTAGCAAGAGAGGGTCTTCCTTTTTTACAGACTACGAAGAAGACAAATGTTTTTTGAAGAGATAAAGAAATCCCTTTGTAACTGCTGTTTCGGTATTGATTGATTGCGGAATGATACAGAAGACAAATACAAGAAAAAAACTAATTCATTCCCATGGTTGTTAAATCTTATTGTCGTCGTCATCAACATTCTTGAGGGTATAGTGTGGAATTCCAAATGTCATGTGAACTGGAAGCAATAAATTTTATTTGTGGCCACTTCGGGTATTTAGTTTCCTTATGTAATTTCTGATGCTTAGCCTGAGGTGGAGTTTAGTCTCATAAAGCAGTAAGTAAACATTGTTTCTGAAAAACAAATCAACTCAAGTGAATAAAATTAGAAAAGCAAGAGAAGATGGTTAGTTGACTTCTGAATTCAGTGGATTTGAAGAGCTGTGACGTCTAGATTCTAATGTCTTCACGCAACTTAATATCTTTATTCAAGAGTTTTAGAATCAGAAATTAGAAATAATCATATTTTTGGGGAACATAGCAATTAAAACTGTCATGTTGAGATGACAGCATGATGGACTAGGTATGGAAAGCTGCACTGAAGCAGAAGGAAATGTGGCGTTGGACTTGGGTACCAAGCTCCATCATATTTGTTGTGAAGCTAACAAATTTAACGGCAGGAATCACACTGTTTCCCTTTTAACACTTCTAAGGTAATATTAAGTAAAAAAAAAAAAAAAAACTTTCATATACGTACAGCTCCTTCATGAATACTTACAAAACAAAAATAAGCCTTAATCTTGTATTAATTCATTGGCAAGCCGAAAAAATGTCTGCAATATTCCAAGGCCAACTTTGCATTTTTGTTGACCCTCCGTCTCGTTGTACCTGGTTGATTAAAGTGCAATGTTGGCCTTCTCTCATCCAAACCAAAAACAAAAAAAAACAAAAGAAAAAACAGAGCACTTTGGGCCTCATTGACAGAAGCCGGGAAGGTTCTAGTTCTTTAAGCAAGTATACATATTTTCGGCATGATAACATCATGTTTAAAACACAAAGGACACAAGGGAATCCTACGAACAATTGAATTCAAATTTGGAAGCTGCAATGCAATTGATTGAAGGCCCCTTCATGCATTCTCACCAGGTGTTACACTACTTATGTAAATCTTACATAAAAATAATCTTGTGCAAATATCAGTGGAACAAGATTATAAAAGGAAACGATTCATGGGGCTAATGAAGGAACAAAATATCTGTCTGTCATGTTTCTTGCAGATTATTACCACTAATGTTTGTCTGTGTTTCCCAAATCTAACACAAATTTTGACCATTGGACCCATCTTGCCTTGATACTTAATGATGCAAGATCATCGATGAATTTCCCTTAAAGTGCCTTTTATTCATTCACATCTAATGAAGGCAATCTATTAGGATGTTGTTATTATTTCTAGCAAAATCATAAATGATGTTTTTTATGCTGTTGAATAGATCTGTGGTGAAAAAAAACAGCTTTTACTTTGCTAAGTTAGCTCATAGTATGAGATCAAATTTTTGTATCTTTAATCAACCACCACCAGTATCTCAGGATATTAAGGTGGGGATTGATGAAAGGTCTTGACTCGGATTTTCTCTTTTGTACATATTTTGACTTTTGAATGATTATAGTACTATTCAATAAAAGAAAATAACAGCTTTGAAGCATTACTATTTTTTAACAGACAATCTAAATTACTTTAAAAGTGTTGTTATACCGTAAAAACAACAGCTTTTACCTTGTTAAGTTAGCTCATAGAATGGGGTCAAATTTTTGCATCTTTAATCAACCACCACCAGTACCTTAGGATATAGAGGCGGAAATTGATGAAAGATCTTGACTCTCATTTTCTCTTTTGTGCATATCCTGACCTTTGAATAATTACAGTACTATTAAAAAAAAGAAAATAATAGCTTTGAAGCATTACTATTTTTCAGTAGACAATCCCAGTTACTTTGAAATTGTTGTTATGTGATGAAAACAGCAGCTTTTACCTTGCTAAGTTAGCTCATAGTATGTAGTCAAATTTTTGCATCTTTGATCAACCATTATCAATACCTCAGGATATTGAGGTAGATATTCTTAAGATATTAGGATGGAGATTAATGAAAGATCTTGATGCTGATTTTCTTTTTTGTACATATCTAGTACTATTCAGAAAAAGAAAATAATAGCTTTGAAGTATTATTATTTTTCAGCAGACAATCTTGGTTACTTTAAAATTGTTGTTCAGGTCAAGGAAAAAATTGCCAAAAACAAAAATCTTAACTTTTTCCAGATTTCACATTGCAATCATAATGGGCTGCTTGATTTTTAAAAGTATAGTTTCTAGAGGAGCCCAAAACAGTATTTGATGGAAAAAGGGAGGAGGGGATGAATACAAACACAGAATCATAAGGACCAAACTAAAGTGAACATGAAAAGATGTTTTTGCGGTGGGTAGCGTTATCAACTTGGAAATCTCTCTCTCTCTCTCTCTCTCTCTCTCTCACTCATATATATATATATATATATATATATTTCAGAGTGAAGAGAACCTCTTGACATGAAAGACCCAGATTCTGGAAAGGCATGATGAAAAAGATGCATGCAAATATCATTTCACAGAGAGCAGGATCAAAATGAAACGATATGAAAAAGATCTCACTTTCTCTTTGGGAGATCACAAGAATCCAAAAACATAGTGGTCAATCCCAAAAGCTTCACCTATATAATATACCCACTTTTCCACAGTTGCACTTTCACCCTCTGTTAAAAACATATTTGCAGTAAATCAGAATAAGTTCCAATTTTTACGAGTTTGAAACTCTTCAGAAAATGTAAATAACAGTGGCTTCTCACAGTCTAACACGAGTGATGGGGGAAAAAAGGGCGTGAGATTCACCTGATGACATGTGAGCCCGTACACAACTGCTGGAGAGATTTACCTTTATCAGTATATACATGTAAGATAACTAAACAAACAGATTTGATCAGGCGTCCAGATTTTTCATATTCACGAGAGTAACAGAAACCTCTTTGTATGCTCTTTTTGTACATTAAGAACATATTATAATGCCTGCAAGCCATTACTGGAATATATTTAGACACACACACACACACACACACACACATATATATATATAAAAGTTGGAGAAAACGCATCATATGAGCACAGTTGACACGAGTAACAGAATCAAAGAGCCGAGAGGGCGGTCCAGTTCTGGTACGTGGACCCATCAAAATCTCCTACACAAGCAGTACACACACACTTTTTGGTGACCTTCTAATATTTGGAATCATATATTAGACTTACATCAAGTACCTCATATTATCTAATCATATATTGTTACGTGTTATATTTCTGAAATATTATTGTTTCATTATAAATTCACATGAATAGAACAAAACACATGACCATGTTTGATTGGAAAACTTAGCATAATAGATATAATGAACTTAACTTGTGCATTTGGCTTAGGGTGTGTTTGGTATAAGGGATTTGGAAGGGAGGGGAGAGAGAAGGAAGGATTTTAATCATTTCCTCTTGTTTGGCAACACACAAATTTTAGGAGGAGAGATAAAATTTTAAAAAAATTTAAAATTTTCCCTCCCCTCCCCTCCAAAATTAGGAGAATTTGGAAGGAAATGACAATATTTTACCATGTTATGACTATCATACCCATATTTTGCCATGTAATGACCATTATGCCCATATCTCAAATAAAATAAGGGCAAAATTGTCCATGTTAAAATATTTTTCCCTCCCGTCCCCTCATGAACCAAACAAGATAATATTAAAACTCCTCCCCTCTCCTCTTTTTTTGTAAATCCAAACAAAGTAATATTAAAATCATCCCACTCCCTTCTCCTCCCCTTCCCTTCATTAAAATCCCTCCCCTCCCCTTTCTCTTATTGAGCCAAACAAACTCTTAGACTTTGACTAAATAAAATTCAAGACAGGTCAAGTATTCTACCCGGGTTAACTCTTCTTAAAATGTCTTCTACATTCACAAGAATCCATGTTTAAATTGTCATAACCCTTTTTAATACATTAGTCTATATATATATATATATATATATGGGGACATACCTTGGGTCAAGTTACTCATGTCTGTTAGGTTAAGTTCATAGGCGAATTTATAAATACATATATATATATATATATACACATTTTAATGGTTAACAAAATGACAAGTGTGAATCGAAAAATTTAACCTAATGATAGATAAAATAACTTGACCTAGATTTTGTCCTCCATATATATATATATAGACAGAGACAGAGACTAGCCATAGTAATGGTGATGATACATACAAGCAGTAGTAGTGCACCGTCGGAGTCACTAGAAGCTCAATGCTTATCTATTTGGGTAGTGCATGACAGAGTAGATGGGCTCGGGAAACTTTTTCTTTTCGGCACTTTGAAACAACAAACAATACTTTAAAAGTCACTTTTGTTATGTTATATATATAAATATATATATTTTCTTGCGTTTTAAACATGGTGGAGATCAACAAACCATATTGCCCAATAATTTAAGGGCATTTGGGTTTTTCACTTTAGAATGTGAATGAGTGAGTGAATGAATGAATACCCATATAACGAAGCAGAGAATAATGAATTGAATCAGTTGACTTGCCCTTTTTTGTCCCAAAGTGGTAGTAGTGGGGTCTAATTAATAAAGGCCTCTTATATATAGTTCAATTAATCAAGCATGATCATGATGGAATTAATGCTTTTAAACAGAGCTTATTGATCCTTTTGCTGGTGACGCCATGTGGCTGGTTAAACCATGACTTTAAATTTATGTAGTACACAGTTAATTGAAATAAAATTTACTATGCAATAGTACACTTTTGTAAAGTCGATTTTATCTTCTTTTTTTTACCTCATTAGCTATTTTTTTATTTATTTCTTATAATGCATTAAACAACAATTTACTATATAGATGGAGCCAGTATTTTGAATGAAATTTAGGGGGAAAAAAACAAATTGTATCATTCATGTCTAATTATGAGTTGGACAATTATTCTTACGCTTTGCATAAAATGAATCTGAACCCTTTAACTCAATATGAATGAAGAACGATCCCTTCTTTACCATTTGCAATATTTAATTTATATAAATTAGATAGAAGATTATACATGTGATTATGAAATTCAATGAACCATTGAATAGTAAAGATACATGTATGTATGAAAAAATATCATGCGAGCAATTTAGTAGGCAAGAATAACAACGAAATAACAAGACAAATACATTCTACTTTTACTCATACCAGCAATAATAATTATG